ACTGAAAACACAGGATTACGAAGTAAAAATAAATTACTGGGGAATGTAACAAAACAACGGTCAAAGAAAAGTGCAGCAACCATGTTTTCACTGCGGGAGACGCATCTACGACTCCGGTTAATGCTCGGGGTTTACTGAATAATGCCAACCCTGCTGTAAGCAAAACAAAGTTAAAAAGTACAAAAGGAAAAAACACAAGAACTATACCGTAAGATTTCAAGATTGTGCAATTATATCTACTGTGGGAACGGTGGGGGCATGGGGTAGGGCACCATCGGTGGTGGGGGTGGTGGCTGTTGGTTCTGTGGTAATGGGGGCTGAGAGTTGAATGGGAATGGCGGATGACTCACGCCATTCTGAGCAGCCCTCTGCACGCCGCCAAACTGAGGTGGAGCTTGGAAACCTTGGTTCCCAAAGCCACCCTGGTTTGGTGGACCACTAAAATTACCCTGTCCGTTGCTGTTGTTATAATTGTTGTTGCCATAGCTACCATTAGAGTTACTGTTGCCACCATAAATGTTGCTGTTTTGGGCCTTGCTGCCACCAAAGGTAGTCTTAGGCCCACCGCCAAAACCTCTATCACTGTCCCTGTAGCCGCTACCACCAAAATTACTTCTCCCACCCCCAGAATACCTATCGCGACGATCATCCTTGTAGCCACCTCTTCCCCCCCTACCACGACCTGCATCAGAGGAAGACAGGAAAGAGACAGAAGGAGACTGTGTTTAGACAGGTGCATCGGAGGCAACCACACTGTAGGAGTTCAAACATCATTGTGAGGCAGTTAGACGTGCATTCCTGGGACACCTGCTCTGGGATATCAGAGTGTTTTAAATTTGAAGTTTTTTTCTGGCCATTTTGAAGTAGGGTCTCGCGTGAAAATGTAGAAAATCTCTTGCAGAAAGCTCATCAACCCCAGTTAGGTGAAATAGTTAAACTCTGACAGGACTTATGAAAAAATGGCTAGTCCTAACGAAGCCAAGACTAAAGTGGACTACTGCAGTCTTTAAACAACTAGTCAGCAGGTATTTCATATTACTGAAAAAATGCCCATGTACTGCAATAGGCTACTGACAGCAGTGTTAAAATACAATTTGAAATTTTGACAATTTATTATTATTTTTTTTAATGATAAAATACTATTAGAAGTGGATCCACTCAAACAGGTTGCCATTACGCACCGATGAATCCAACTTTCAATGAGGACTTTGCGATCAAAGCAACTCTAATGTTCAAAAAATAAAAATTGGTCATGCAAATGCTACTTTTAAACCTTTATACTTATCATTTTTACACTTCAAGGTAATTTGGGCAGAAATATGAAATTCCTCAGATATATCTCAGGCTGCACTAAAGTGCTACAACTAGCTATTGGCACTTGCAGAGAACCTCAGAATTCTTTATAAATCATGTAATGCAGAACTGTCAGATATAAATGTTAATGGCGTTTCCTCAAGCTGCTTTAATATTCTTTGAAAACATTTTATTCTTAATTTTTCCACAATGCATTATTTCAAAAGGGCCAGAATATACCTTCTCAGGAGAAAAAAATCCCAGTAACACAACCACAATTTTTGTTGATCAATTTGTCTTTTTCCCCCATTAGTTATAAATAAATTAAAACAAATTAAATACATGTTTTTGTACACATCTCACCTCCTCTGTCCTCTGCCATCTGGATCAGCTTGGGGTTGATGGCCTGATTGGCCTCGCGGAGCACAGAGATCAGGTCGCCCGCTTGTTTCATGTTGCTGGGGGTGAAGAAGGTGTAGGCTGTGCCCGTTTTTTGACTTCGGGCTGTGCGTCCAATGCGATGAATATAATCCTCAGAGGAGTTAGGGTAGTCATAATTGATGACAAATTTCACATCCTCCACATCTGTGAAAGTGTTGCAGTGTGGCAAAACAAAACATGGAGGCCACACAAATTTTTGCACACCACAACAACCAGATCAAAGAGAAACATTAGCAACTGTGAACCCTGGGGGAAGGAAAGTGGTCATTAGGCTGTGGATGGAAATGTTTTAAGAGTGTGCACATCTACTCCATGGGAATACTACTGTGGGAAGAGAGAAACGATGCACACTCCAATTGCTTACCATATTCTAAAAAAAATCCAAAGATATCGTTCTCCCTTTTGTTATCAAGGGAGAAAAAGATGGATTTAAGTCTTACCATAAAAGGAGTATGCATTCACTAGTCCTTTCCCAACGCAGCGAAATCCCCCACAAATTGTCAAGTGACATCCAGGAGCTTCTACGCAGTTGGGCCACGATATGCACTGGGGCCTCCTCGTGCCAATATAGGACCATTGAGCGGTACATTTTTCCAGGTCCAGGGTTTTCCCAGTACACTCTCAAAAGAAGCGTATTATTAAAGGCCGCACTGCATGTCTTGCCAAGACAAAATAGACCAAGTGCTAATTTTGGGATAATAATGGGACCCATTCGAAAAAAAACGAAAAAGGTCCATAGATTGAGCCTTGAGGAACTCCCAAACAAGCACCATTGCTCAACACACTCCCTCCCCCACTAAGCGCCTACATCAGTTTCATCAAGGCAAGATCTTCCAAGAAGCCAGTGTTCACTTGAGAAAATGTCTCTCGTTGGCAGGTCTCGACATGACTATAAAACACAGGCGAGGGAGGAACTTTGGTTTGAACTTTCTCATTCTCCTCTCACTAGACGTTCCCACTACCCCTTGAACACATGTGCCAGGTCTCATCAATTTTCAGAAACAAAACGTTATAAAACTGCTCTCTCCATTTCCAAAAATCCAGCACTTAGACAAAATAAATAAATAAAATATCAGCTGCAAGTTTTGACATCCATGCTATGTGAAACAAGTTCTGAAAGATGACATTTGTTCCAAATCTCAAACAGGTGACTTGCATTACTGTAACATCTAAAACAACAGCATGCAAAGCTAGTCACATAATCAAGCATCTCTTTTGGTTTGAGTTGGAAAACAGCTGGATGGGCATTTATCAGGTGAAATCCATGGACGGAGAACAGGTGTATGTGTATTTCAACAACATAGAGAAAGGCTTAGCCACACAAGCCTTTTGAAGATCACTGGCACACAAGAGCTTTCACCTCTCTAGGCCCACTGGGTGGCAAGCCAGTTGAGCCTTTCCAATATGTCCTCCTTCTCCCTCTCGAGGCCTGGGACTGTCATGCCTAGCGCCTGCCACAAAGACTCCACCTTAAGGTGAGGAAAAACTCAGAAAATGCATAGAAGAGTTAAAGAAAGCAAAACACTTTCTTTAAAATAATAACACTGATAATTAAGAGGCATTACTGAATGACATACTAACCTAGGCCACGGGAGGCCACATCTGTAGCAATGAGAATCGGAGCTTTGCCAAATCTGAACTCTGTAAAGCAGTGCACAGTTGTAATTGACACGCAAACCATCCTGATCTAAATACATCTTTAAATCACCACAACTGAATTACCGTTAAGGACCCAGTCCCTCTCTTGCTGGCTCTTGTCTCCATGGATTCCCATTGCAGGCCACCTATGGTGGACAGAAACATACAGAAACTTGTTCATGTTGGGCAGACGGTGTGAAGTGATTAATCTAGGCAACATAAAAACTGGTCGTCATTACTTAAGATGTGGAAATATGTGTAACCCTTCCAGTTAAAACTTTAATAAAATAAAGATGAAATCCTTACCCATCTCTTCTCATCCTCCTTGTAATCTCATCACAACGTCTTTTGGTCTCCACAAAAATAATGGTCTTGTTCTCCTTTTCACTCATTATCTCCTCCAGTAGACGAACCAGTCTTTAAAAAAAAAAAAGTAAAAAATGGTCAGTAGTCAGACAATATGCCTTCCCATATTTCATACAGGCCAAAAGTTGTCATGTTGCATGTTGTCATAGATTTTGATCGAAAACACGAGCTCTTGAACTACGTACTCATTAATTATTAACGTTTATGGCTAAAACTGTTGAAGTCATTAACTCACTTGTCTTCCTTCTCTAGGTCATTGCAAACATCAACTATCTGTAGGATGTTGTGATTGGCGCTTAGCTGCAAGGCACCAATATTGATCTGGACGTAGTCCTTCAGGAAGTCCTCAGCCAGCTGTCGAACTTCCTTAGGCCAAGTTGCGCTCCACATCAGAGTCTGACGGTCCGGCTGGTAAAGACAGAAATGAGACTGTCAACTTTATTTACGTCACAAAAAGTTTAATTGTAGTTTGGCTGGTTTGCTTGAATGAGTATGAACCCATCTCTTTTTAGCATATTTACGTACTTTTCAAATCATATTTTTTATTTGAGCAAATTAATTTATCAAGAGCCACCAGACAGTTATTTATACAATATCAAATCTCAGCCAAGTGAAAGCAAGTCACAAAACGCACCCGTATCTGCTCCACTATCTTGCGGATCTGAGGTTCAAAGCCCATGTCCAGCATGCGGTCAGCTTCGTCCAGCACCAGATAGGTGCAACGACGCAAATTTGTTTTCCCACACTCTAGAAAATCAATTAGACGACCTGGTGTAGCAATGCAAATCTCAACCCCTAAACAGAAGCAAACAAACAAAACATGACTAATGAAAACTTGTAAACGTATATACATAATGGTAGCAAACTAGGCATACCCCTCTCAAGGTCCCTGAGCTGTGGTCCTTTGGGTGCGCCACCGTAGATGCAAGTGCTCTTGAGACGTGAGGCCCGGCCATATTCAGCAGCCACTTGTTGAACCTGCTGAGCCAGCTCACGTGTTGGTGCCAGCACCAAACACTAAAAAAAGGGGTTAAAATTTATGTTTAATCAACATATAGTCTAACTTAAAATGTTGTTGTAAAAAAAAAAATCCTTGCTTGAAATTAAAATTAATGCAATGTTTATTGGAACATAGTTTCCATGTTTCTTCCTGTAACAAAACAAGGTTACCTCTACGCGAGCGCGTTTAAAATCACTTACAATGGGCCCGTCTCCATGCTCCAAGAAAGGCTGATGTTGGATATGAACGACTGCAGGCAGAAGGTACTAAAACAAGAAAATCAGAGTTTGATTTGTGACTTTACGAATAATAAACAACACTGTATTGGTGTTTCCAGAAATTATCTAGTTAACTTTTAAAACGCCAGCAGTTTACATTTCTTACAACAGCTAGGAATGCTAGTATTTTCCTGCTCAGAATATTTTGTGCTAATTTGCACATTTTAATTTCAGAAAATTGTAGCAAAGCAAAGAAGCCCAAGTGGATTGTTTTATAGAAAAGGCCTTGAAAGGGTAAAGGCCTTGAAAGGGTAAAGTGTAACCAGAGAGCACTCACTGCCAGGGTTTTCCCAGACCCAGTCTGAGCGATGCCGACCAGGTCTTTCCCACTCAGAGCAAGAGGCCACCCCTGAGACTGGATTGGAGTTGGTTCTGTCCAGTTCTGTTTGACAATGACGTCCATAACGTAGCCTAAGAAAACAAGGCATTAAAGTTTACTTGTAAGACGTAAAACAAACCTTGACAACATGACAAACTGCTTGTTATTCGGGGATGGAAGCATGAATTTAAACTTACTTGGAAATGCAGCTTCGTGGAATTTTACTATTGGTTTGGGGCAATCTCTGCCTTTGACTGTAACCTCTTTGCTTCTGCGATACTGATCAACTTCTTGCTGGATTTAGAACAAATGAAAAAAAAAAAAAAACCTGTTAAACCACACAGAAACCCACCTGATGCTGCATATTGTCTTGTTCTTTATCTGAGTATCAAAATAAATTCAGCTGCAAAGCAAAGATTACTGTGACAAAAAAGAAACTTTGCTAAGACATAGCCACTGTATACACAGGTCTTACGAGTGGTCTGTGTGAGACATCTGAGTGTTCCTGGTAGAAGTTCTTTTGAAACTTTGGAAGCTCATCAAGGTTCCAGTGCCTCTTTCGCAGCCTTTCACCAGGGTTGCCAAACTTTCCTTGAGGGGGTCCTCCTCTGTTGCCTCCACCAAAACGAGAAGGGCCACCGCCATACCTAATGTAGAAAAGCACAAAGACATAGACAAGACATTTACTAAAGAGCTGGAACATCCATCCCATCATTTTTAACCGCTTCTTCCTTTTCGGGTCTTGGGGGTCACTGGTGCCCATTCAGCAGTCACTGTGTAAGAGGCGGGGGACACCCTGGACAGGTCTCCAGAAAGGGTGCACCGATAAATCGGCCGGATTGGCCTCCATTTCCTTAATTTTGGGAAATCGGCTGATACTTGCACGAGAAACCGATTTTGCAGATTTTTATTTTAGTTTTACCAAAAAATTTATGAACTTCATTTATGTTTCAGAGCACTACCTCATGGCCAGTTAAAACAAGTTTGTATCGTTTCTAGAATATTGTTCAAGGGTATGTTTTTCAATAAAAAAAGATTGGAAAATTGAAGGTACATTGTGACCTTATAATACCTGACAGTGTCGCTTACAAAACAAAATCATAATCGGCCAAAATCGGAATTGGCAGATCAGACTTTAAAAATTGGTGATCGGCCAGAAAACTGCAATCGGTGCACCCCTAGTCTCTAGTCCATCACAGGGACACATCGAGACAAACAACCATTCACTCTCTCACTCACACCTATGGACAATTTAGAGTTACCAGTCAGACTAACATGAATAGTTCCCAATAAACATGATCAATAATAAATAAAATATTAAAATTTGACAAAAAATTTATTTCTCTGTAAAAGTTATAAATAGTATCCTACCTGTTGTAGATGGGGTTTCCTTATTCCTTATTTCCTTAATTTTGGGAAATCGGCCGATACTTGCATGAGAAACCAATTTTATTCGTTTGTTTTACCAACAATTGTCGGAACTTCATTTATATTTCAGAACACTACCTTTTAAAACTTGTTTGTATTTCTAGGATATTGTTCAAGGATATGTTTTTCAACAAAATAATATTGGAAAATTGAAGGTGCATTGTGATCTTACAACATCCGACAGTGTCGCTTATAAAACAAAATTGGAATCGGCAGGTCAGACTTTTTAGAAATCGGTGATCGGCCAGAAAACTGCAATCTGTGCACCCCTAGTTGTAGATAGCTTGTTGAATGTCTCAGTAGGACTAAAACCCAGAACTAATGGCTAGTTTAATGTGGATAAGACCAAATTCAATTGCCGTTTTCTCAAAACAACCCCAACTGCCAAAATTATACAGCGGTTCATGCAACTATTATTTCATAGACCTGTACACTGTCGCAATTTTCCCCGTTACGGTGTTTTTTTTTTTTAATTAGATAAAACTCTTGTTAATAGCAAACACTTCTAGTGCAGCCCAAGGCACATCCTGCAGGGACTTTTGTAGTATTTTGCCAGAATAACCATAAAATGCAAAATGTTGAAACCAATATGAAATCTTTGGTTTGCTTTTGGAAAGCTTTGAACCTCTTTAGAAATTGGTCTACTCAGACAGTGTTGCCACGCTAATAATGCCGTCTTCTATAGGTTTAATGTCCTAAAACAACTCCAGTATTTTTTTTCAATTTAATAGTGGTTCATACAAACACTGTATGTTCATGTTGGGCATGTCATACATATTATAACACACAGTTCTTGAAGCAGATAAGAAATTCCTGTCACAAATGAACTCAGGCTGCATTGTGCGTACCCTGGAGCCGTTTAGTGAAATACATTGATCCTTAGTGGTCTTAGTTCAGTTCAATGATCAGGTCTTAAGGTCTCAGAGACCAACTCTGTCTCCAAACTCAAACTGAGACCGTTTTAGAGAAAACTACAAGAGAAAAGGCCACTTAAACATGCAATAGCCTTTGGTAGAAAGTAATAGGTTTCTTTTGTATTGTACTTAATATTATGTAATACATACAGTCAAAATTCAATTCAAATTCAAAAATACTTTATTAATCCCAAAGGTAAATTATTTGTTGTTGTTGTAACTTGTTATCCTCATTTCATTAAGATATATGTTATAGACACTGATGGCTGTAAACAGAACAGATCTCTTGTAAAGGTCCATCCCACAGTGGATTCTAAGAAACTGGCTGCAGATGCCGTTCGATCCGTCCACCAAACTTAAGAAGTTTAAAGCCATCCAGTCCCTGATGTCAGCCAGGCAGTCGAGCAGAGGTTGAATAGAGCATGTGCCATTGTGTCTTAGGGGGAAGTAAATTTGACAGTCATCGGCGTAGAAGTGAAAGGGCATGTTGTGTTTACAGAAAATAGCACCAAGCGGCAGCAGGTATAAAGAGAATAGGAGGGGACCCAGGATGGACCCCCGCGGAATCCTCCCCCCCCCCCAATTTAAGCTCTGTCACTGCAGAACTAAAATCCTTGATGGAGACACAAAAGGATCTGTCAGCGAGGTAAGATCTGAACCAACTGAGGGCTGACCCTGTGATGCCCACCCACTGCTCCAACCTAGCAATGAGGATCTCATGGTCGATAGTGTCAAAGGTGGCTGTGAGGTCCAACAGGACAAGCAGCATAGAATCACAGTTATCTGTGGATATGAAGATGTCATTAAAAACCTTCAGCAGGGCAGTTTCAGTGCTGTGGAGAGGTTTAAAGCCAGATTGGAAAAGCTCTAAGATGGTGTGATCCTCCAAGAAGCACTTCAACTGAGACTCATCTGTTTTCTCCATTATTTTAGAGACAAATGGGAGTTTGGAGACAGGCTGGAAGTTGGATATAACTGAGGGGTCAAGGTTTGGCTTTTTCAGGAGAGGCTGGACAGCAGCATGTTTGAAGGTTTTTGGCACCACGCCAGTGGATAAACTACTGTTTACTATAGCAAGAACGGACGGACCTAGAGTAGGAAAAACCTCCTTTAGTAGTCGAGGGGGGACCACATCAAAGGGGGAGCCAGAAGGTTTCAAGCTACTCATAACCTGCTCTAGAGAAGATAAGAGTGATGGGTTCAAAATGGTCAAATAGAGCTACAGATTGAGGTGGGATGGATGGGTCATGAGTTGGAGGGGAAATGAGAGCCCGGGTGGTCGCAAATTTTTCCAAAAAGAAATGTAAGAAGTTCTCGCACAGCTCAGTCGAGGCTTCCAGCGGTGATGGTTCAGTGAGGTGGAGAACAGAGTTTAGGGTGGAGAAGAGGACACGTGGGTTGTGAGAGTTTGAAGTTACGATATCAAAAAGTATTTGGATTTAACAGCTTTCACTGCTTTCTGTGAACGGCGCCAACTCTATTTAAGTATTTGAAAAGAGACCTGTAGCCTGTCTTCCCTCCATTTGCGCTCCACCCTCCTACATTGCTGCCTAACAGCCATGGTGACGTCACTCAGCCAAGGTTCTGCTGAGTTTTGATTGTCTGCTTAAAGACCCTGGATCATGTCGCTCCTGTTAAAACTAGATGGAGTTGAACTGGGATGTCAGCTCCTCAGTGGTAGTGAGAAACACCGGGGGCTGAATGATCATTTCAGAGTTATAAACATCTGTGAAACGTGCGGCAGTGAAGTGGTTAATGGCCCAGCTACTATGTGCAGGAACACACGGCTTAGGAGTTAGATGGGGGAGGGTGAACTCAAACTGGACTGGCATGTGGTCTGAAAAAACATCACCAATTTCAAGATTACTAACAGTCACATCACGAGTTAAAACAAGGTCCAGTGTATGTCTGCGCTCTTGGGTGGGACCGTTTACATGCTGAGTTAGATTAAGAGTCCAATAAATCTAAAAAAGTCCTTAACCAAGGGCTTCTCAGGACATCACACGTGCAAATTAAAGTCCCCAATAATGAAAACATGATTATATTTTGGTGTGATTTCAGCCAAGAAATCAGAAAACTCTTATGAAATCCTTAGATCGAGGTGGGCGGTAGACGAGTGCACATAAAGTCGAAAGCGAATGGACGAGTTCAAAGACGCTCAGCTCAAAGCTGGCACGGGAAACTGGGATGGGCAGTTGTTTACAGTAAAAAGTTGATTTGAATATTGTTAATAATCCACCACTGCGCCGGCCTGATGGCTGTGGTGCATTAAAATACAGACAGTTCAGTGGCAATAATTCCGTCAAGGCGCTGGACTCACCCGGAGACACATCCGGATACTGTCAAAAGTGGACCCAGCAGCGGTGGAGTTAGCGCGCGCCAATGGCCACAGGTTTTCAATAACAGCCCCTCTGGGTTGGCCCGTGCAGTGCACGGGCCGACAACTCCCGTTGTTTGCCTGGTCCAGGCACTTGGAAAGCTGGTGATGGAAACCATGACCACCAGCTGGAGAGGAAGATGCAGCACGCAGGGCTTTAAGATTTACCAGCCGCCCAGCACGTTTTCCCCGGCGTCTGTAGCGATATCTCCGAGCAGGCAGGTGAGGAGCCCAGCCGAGATAAACAGGCACGTTTGCCAGCAGCGGGGGAAGGGGGGTCCAGAGGTACGCTCATATTGGTCCAAATAAATGACATCGGCGGCAGAAAATCGACGATCCAGAAGCTGTTGTTGGTCATACACCAGCAGCGAGTCTATGTCCCAGATAAAAAACGAACAAAATGCAAATAATCCGAACACCATCAGCAGAGGTGGATTGCAAGCCATGTACACGGGTGCCATCTTACCGGAAGTAACCATCTTCCGATCATAGGCCCACCTTCTCTAACCTCTGCGCCACCGCTCCATATATATACATCTATCTATATAATCCAGCGTTTCCCCTAGATGACTTGCCATGGCGGGGCACTCATCTCATCCGTGATTTTTGTCCGGGGATGGGGGCTGGAACGGAGACTCGTCCTAAGCTGCGCAGCTTAAACCAACAGTTTTGGGGGACACAGAGGCAGCCGTGTGCTTTTTGTACTGACAGTTTTAGAGCAGGGTGTGTGAGAGGAGAGATACAGAGACATATCTCAGCCGCGTGCTGTCTGAACCAACAGCTTTTTTGGCCGGGGGGGTGGGTTGGTTGTCGGTGCGGGGGAGCGAGACGCACATCTGAGCTGTGCGCCGTTTGTATCGAGAGTTTTCGAGTGGCGGGGATGCGTTCAGCGTGAAGGAAGAGGCTGCCTTTAGCTTTTTACCTAGTGCATCTGCATTGCGAGCCGCTAGTTTAGCGTTACGTCAGTGCAGACAGGTGGGTGGGGTTCGGTAGACGGGGCGCCCCGCTTGTATAATGGTAGGGGAAACACTGTAATCTCTGTACTCTCTTAGTCCTGGCGATTCTGAATTGATTCTAAAGGCCCATAAATCGAATTTAAAATGTGTTTAAATATTTTTTTTCGCTCCTACTCCCGAGCGTACTGCATATCGCATTATGTGTCTGCTCGGCTGCCGTAGATTTGGGCCGTGTAGGCCACCGTACAGCAAGCTAGTTAGCCAGCTCCCTTTATCTGAATGGAGCCTGTTAGCATAGAGCATGGGGACAGCACGATTCAACCCACATCTTTCTTTAAAAATCATTTCAGATCCTACAATGTTCCAGGGGAAGACAGAGTTGTTTGCAAGAAGTGTAAAATAAAATTGTGGTACAGGATTTTGGAAATATGACAAAATGTGCGGAAGATGAAAGTGAAGCAGCCGACCAGCGAACTGAGCAACAAACTTCCAGGCTACTCCAAAAGGCTGTGAAGAGTTCTCTCTCCATCTCCTGCTGTATCACAAAGGATTTACGAGCAGACAGCTCAGTTGAAGGTGAGGGGTTTACGTTTATTTTTAATACGGTGGACGCAAGTTATTCCTTCACGTAGATTTTATTTATTTTTACGATAAGCAGCAACTTCACCATGAAACAACGAATGGGAGAAGCTCTGATGCAGCTTCAGCTCAAAAGGTACCGTAACTGATTTTTTTCACATTATACTAAAACTTATATAGACATGTTGTACAACAAACTTAATGTAATTTGTCTTTTCAACAGGTTGAAGAGAGGACAGATAAGACACGTCTCCTGGAGCCAGTTCTAAAGGATACAATATGAATCAAGTCTGTATATTTCATATTAGGATAAGTTCTGAAAATATAACAACGGTTAGAGCAATATGGTTAAAAAAAAAAAAAAAAAAAAAGTGAAGTCTGTATTTTATTTTGAGTTAAAAGTTAATGCACTATGGTCTGTTTACTTTTGTATTTATACATTTTGAATTATTTGTCTGTCATGGACTGGAGACCTAAGTGTCCCCTGCCTCTTGCACTGTGATGGCTGGACATGGACACCAGTGACACCAGTGACCCGTAAAGGAAGAAGTGGGTAAAGATGATGGATGGATGAATTATTTGTTCCTAGATTTTTATTTTATTTTTAATTTTTTTTTTTTTTTAAATCCAAGCAACTAAGCTAACCTAACACTGGTAAATTAAGTTACAGAATTTTATGTACTACTGTATTTGTTCCTATTTTTGGTATAAATATAAAATGATGCAAAAAGATTTGACACAGTAAAGAACATAAAATTATTGTTTTAAATAAATGTTCTATTTGGTTACATTGTTGTTTAATCTTTTCATCTCGTCAGTTACATAACTGAAACAAAATTTAGGACCATTTCAATAGAAAAATAGTTTCTGAATCGAATCGCCAGACGAGATTCGCACCCCTAATATATAAATAGTGTCAGCGGGTTTACTAACAGCTATCAGAAAATATCCAGACTGTTTAGTTTAACGCTAAAGATCCTAATGAGGTCATTTATACATTTATTATCGGGTGACGTGATCTCAGGCCCAGAGCCGTCCTGACCCACTTAAAACAGGCTCGTCTGTCTATTTTAATCTACGAGAATTTACATTTAGAAAGCTGCATCCAATAGAACACACTAAAAACTAGAATCAACCTCTAAGACAGTTTTTCGTCTGAAAACTGTTTCTGCAAAAGGACTGCGTCACAAAAACAAAAAGGCGAGTGCGAAGTCAGCTGCTCAGCCGCTGCCATTTTACTTTTAATGTCCAGGATACAATAAAACGATTTAAATACATCAACGCGGACACGACGGCCTTGTAAATACGTTTTAATAACCTTTCGGTATTTTATAACACAGATGCTAATTATTGACAGCAATAAAAAAAACATTTTAAATGTATTTTCGCTCAAAATGGTGACTGCCTTGCCAGCAACGTCAAGCTGCACAAAATGAAAAGGTTAAAATCGCCAAGTTGATAATGAACTTACCCCCTATCTCTGCCACGGTCTCTGTCTGAAAAACCAGGCATTGTGCAGATTATTGTGAACCTGTGAAATAAGTGAAACGGGTCAAAAATCCTCAGGAGATCCGTGTACAAGCTGAGAACCGTACCGGGTCTGCGAAAAGAAAATGCCGGCCGGCTGGAAGAGTCTGTGAAGAACGGAAATGAGGTCACAGGAGGCGGATAACATGTGTATCAAGGCGCGCCTTTCGTCTAGCGCAGAGCCCTAGATATATAAAGAAAGAGATATAAAGAAATTTAGGGCTCTGGTCTAGCGTTTCCGTGGCACTATTTTATGTTCGCATTCCATCCATTTATCTTCGCCCGCTTTTCTGCAGCAGGGAGCTGCTGGGAGCAAACCACTCGTGCGCATTTAAATATGTAGCAAGCATGTAGTAAACATGTAAACTACACTAAAACAGGCCTGGAGGAAACCCTGTGACCTCTCACTGTGAGGCCACTGTGTTACTTTCTCCAAGTCATTTACATTACGTTGGATCTTTTTGGCATTTTGAGACTTTGCAACATTTTGTTCTTTAAATTCTCTTTTAATTTTTGATTGTGTATAAATTTTCAACAAACAAAAATGCTGACACAGACTATTCTATAAAACAAATAATGGACACTCCGCTACATAACGAAACCATTCAAGTTCATGCTAGTCATTGAATGCAGGCACCAAACAAAATATTGCACTGCAGTAAATCATCATAGATCATTATATTTCAAGTACAATTCATGTTCTACTGCTAACAAAATATTTGCTCAAACAGATTCTCTCCGTCTTTGATGCGCAGCGCACACCTGGTTTAGAAGATAGTGAAGACGCCATGAGGAGTGAGGAAAATTTGGATTTGTTGAAATTAATTTAATCATTGTAATATTAAACAATATTAACCCACAGTGTA